CCCTTAGCCAATACTCAGCAAAAGTAACCAGAGTAGTGACTACCTTTGGGGGAGGTTAGAGGCCGGAAAGGGGATGAGAGCAGCTTTAGGATATGGTAATGTTTTCTTTTGTGATCTTGAGGCTGGTAACACAAGCTCATTTGTGAAAATATATCAAGTTATATATTTATGATCTATGTGCCTTTCTAAATGATATATTTTGATAAAAAATAAACAAAACATTAAAACAGAGAGTAAATGTGGTTCCTGTTTTGGGTTGGGGTGCTCACCTCCACCAGGGCCTGCAGGAGGCGCTGTGTTAGGGCACCAAAGGGGCACCCGTCTTCTGGCTGCTCATGCTGGGCCTCAGACTTCTTCAGCAGAGCATCCACATCTGCAGTGGGCACAGAAGAGGAGGACAGGTGGAAAGAAATTCTAGGAGCTCAAGGCCTGGCCTGGGGTGGGCAGGGAGGTGAGGGGCCTACCTTTAGTGTCTAGTTCAGTCAGCGGACCCATGAGGCCTTTCTTCTTGTCAGCCACAGCCGCTGCCCGGGCCCCGTCCTTCTGCTCCTCCAGCAGGTCCTCCTGGGCCCAGCGCTGGGAGTAGTGCTTCCCCAGCGGTGGGATCTGTGGAAGAGATGGCACCCGGCTCCAAGGGGGTAAACAATGGCCAGTCATGCCTGGAGTGCAGGGGGCTCTCTGTGCACCTGGGCATTGCCAATAAGCTTTTCACTCATTCCCTCATTCATTCATTCATTCATTCACTTCTCCGTCTTACCCGTCTCCCCAGTCCCTAGTCCAAGGCCAAGGCCAGTGCCAGGTATATGTTAGAAGGGACAAAGGAGATAAAATACCTACACGCACACTGTACTAAGGGAGACAAGCACGTAAAGAACTAAAACACACACAGAAGTCAATGTGGAACAATTCCCAAAATATAAGGTGCAGAATTCTATATGTATATGGCTCAGGTTGGAGCTATTGCCTCTAGAGGAATTACCTTTTTATGTTGCTTGGAATTTACTACTGCCTGTATCCTGTATGAGTTACTTTTTCCTTCTTTCTCTTTCTCTTTCTCTATTTCTCTTTTTGAGACAGTGTCTTCCTCTATCACCCAGGCAGGAGTGCAGTGGTGTGATCATAGCTTACTGCAGCCTCAAAGTCCTGGCCTCAAGTGATCCACCTGCCTTGGCCTCCCAAGGTGCTGGGGTTACAGGTGTAAGCCACCATGCCCAGCCTACTTTTCCAAATAAATTTTTTAAAAATTCAGGTAAGTGAAGCAAAAGAGGTAGATCAAGGTGTTATGGCATCATAAATGAGAGATCAACTTTCTCGTGAGGAATCAGAAAAGGTGTTTTGGCAGAGGTTACATGAGATCAGGACCTTGAAGAGTGAATCAAGTCTGTCAGGAAGAGTTTGCATCGAGGTCCGAGACTAGCAAGGAGCCCGTGCTAGCCTAGAGTAAGGGCAAGGTGCTTGGTGGGGGCTGGTAAATGCAGCAGTGAAGAGAGCTGTGTCTAAGGGACCGGGGGAGGGGCACTGGGGCTGTGGCACCAAGACCCGAGACACTTGGACTTGATCCTGTGGATAACAGGAGCCAGGGACCTCTAGAGGCTGAAAAGCAAGCAAAAGAGTAAAGAGGCTGTTTGGATAAAAGCTGATGAAAACTTGAACCAAAGTAGAGGGGATGTAGATGAGGGGACAAGCGCAGACCTCACTGAAGTAGATGCGATGACTTCACTGAGGAGGTAGTGACCATCTGGCTGTGGTGGAGGAGAGGGAGTGCAAGGAGAAAGCTGAGAGTTTGAGCATGGATGGGTTGTTGGGGCAGACAAGAGGCTGGGCAGGGTGGAGGAAGGGAGGTGATACATGCTTTGGTATCTTTAATTGTGAGGCACCTCTGAGCCCTCCTGCTCTCCACCATGTCTACTGAGGCCCAGAGTTTTTACCTTATAATGTTCAGCCTCATCTTCTGGGGGTTTCAGCAGTTCCTCTAGTGTGCGCACCTCCTCGCTGGTGATGTCGGCACAATAGGGCTCCACCGAAGCCCAGAACCTGCAGGGAGAAGCAGATCCTGACTGGATGTCCCTCTGCCCCACCAGCCTCAGCCCTGGGTCCCTCTAGAGCTTCCACCACCAGAATCTTGAGCCCCCCCCCACCATGTTCTCCGGCCCACGACCTGTTGGGGGCATCATTCTTGGGAATCCGCGGCACGTCAATTGGGTCATCAGTGAATTCATATTCCTGGATCTTGGGCTGAAGGTTTTTGGATTTGGGCCGCCCCGGGCCAGGGCCTGGCCCATGTCCTGCCTTCCCTTCCAGTTTCTGCTTCTTGGGCTTCCCATGTTTGGGGGGAGCTCCAAGCTCATGGTCTCGACCCAGCTTCAAGAATCGTCGGTCACCTTTCTTATCTTGCCAGTCAGTGAGGATCTGAAATTTACAGAGACTGTCACCAAAGGGGAGAAAGTAAGACACAGGACAACTCTTTCCCCCAAGGAATAAATTAAGATCTAGAATCCAAGGAGGCTCCAAGGTCTTTCCCCATCCCCTTTTTACTTAGTAAACTCCCAGTGACCCTTCAAAACTCAGCTCCTTTTCAGTACCCTGTCTCTTAAAACTTTATTCATATACTTATCATCCCATTCACTTGTTTGTCTGTACTCTGATTCACTTGTGTAACACTCAAGCCAGTCACATATTGTTTAGTAGAAGAGTCAGATAAATGATCACACCCCAGTGCATGTTGGCCCTGCGAAAATATGCTGGTGGTGACTTTTTGGCAAAGGCAAGCAGCCTCCCAGCAAAACCTCATTTCAAATGTCACCACAACTGGGAAGCCCTCTCCGCATCAGTCACCCAGATTCTTAGATGCTAAAATGCAACTTAGTGTGCCACACCTCTTCTCAAAAAGCTTCCATGGATTCCCAGGGACCACAAGTTAATTCTATTCAACCTTTTAGGTCCAGCTGAACAGGCATTTCCTTCTTCTGTAAGTCTCTGGCACTTCTTACCTCCACTGTAGACCCAATCGTATCATTTCATTACAGACTATAAGCTCCCAAAGACCAGGAAGCTTATCTTAACTACCTCTATTACACAGAACCTAGCATAGTGCTCAGCATACAGGGCTCAGGGAAGTTTATGCAGTGAATAAAAATAGAGTAGTACCAATAAATACCATTTGAAATGCTTACTTAGTGTCAGACACTGGGCTGAGCCTTTGCAAAAATTCTTTTAATCCCCACAAAAGCTCTAAGGTAGAACTTCAGTCCACTTTGCAGATAGGGAAACTGACACTCAGAGATATGAGGTAACTTTCTCAAAGTCACAGAGCTAAGAAACAGCAACGCTGGCAAGTGCCTAGGCCAGGATTCAAATCCAGGTTGCCCCATTCCAGTTCTCCAGTACCCCTAACCATAACATATCACTTGGTATTTGCCTGACCTCCCCCTTCCTTTAGTTGGCAAGGTCCCTCATGGCCAAAATTGTCCTAATTACCTCTCTCTAATGACTAGTATAGGACACAGAACGGGAGATGGGGTGTCAATAAAAGCTTAGTGAATTGTAAATCATGCATATTCTTGTGTATTTTACATGTCACGTGAGCCCACTTTGGGTCTCTCTCTCTCTTTCACCATAAGCCTCTGTACCCCAGGCCTCAGTGGACAGGGCTAACTCAATGACCCATCCCATAACTTGTCATAGTCCTTCTCTGGTGATGTCCCCTCTCTGGGGTATCACCTGGGTTTCAGCTTCAAGCACGCGCAGGCGCCGACTGGCAGAGGAGAGCAGGGTCTCAAGCTCCAGCTGTAGGGTGTCCAGCTCCTCAATGCCGATGCCATCATCTTCAGAGCGGGCCAGCACTGCCGTGTAGCGGGGACAGACCTTTAGGTGGTCCACAGACTTGAAGTCGTGGAACTGCAAGGGGCAGTCCTTCAACTCACTCATGGCCCAGGATATGGGACTCTGTGGAACTGGAGAGGAAAGGGGGGTGGTGGGAGACAAAGTGGCATGAGAAAAGCCCAAGGGCTTCTTCTCCCCAGGGACAGCCTCGACAAGGAAGCCAGGCTTCAGTACTCTTACCAACAAGCTGATAGCACAGTTCCTACTCACAGGGCACCTGCTGTCCACCAAGCTAGGTGCAGAGCACTTTACCAGCTTATCTCATTGAATTCCTCACCCAACTCCACAACCAGGAACCACTGTGATCCCCTTTTTACAGAGGAAGAAACTGAGACTCTGTAAGGGTGGGTACATGCCTAAGCTTCTGAGATGCAATTTGAACCCTAGTCGTCTTGAGTCCACACCCTCAGTCACCATGATGTATCACTATGTTCTGTCTTTCCCATACTCTTCCCTTCTGCTCTACTCCTCCTGGGTTCTGTAAGGCCTCTGAGTTCCAAGTACCTCATTCTTAAAATGTTCTCTGCCTCCCGGCCTCCTTGTCTCCCCCTACTCATCTTCCTCCCTGATCTATGTCCCTAATAGTGGCTTAGAACGTGGGCTGGTAAGCCAGACAGATCTGGGTTCAAGCACTTTACCATTCTCTACTTATGTGCCCCTGAACATGTTATTTATTTAACCTTTTGGAGTCTCATATTTTCCATCTGTAAAATGAAAACAAAAGAAGTCTCAGTCTGTTTCCCCACAAAATGTCTAACTGTAAAATGGGGATAACAACAGTACCTACCTCCCTGAGACGTTCTGAGGATTAAGAGATGATGCCGTCAAGAGCCCAGTTCAGTGTCTGGCACCGAAGAAGGGGGACTGTTTAACGGCTGGCCCCACCCAGGGGTCGCCCAATGTCCCGCCTTCAGGATCCCCGTCCTCTAGGGACACCCTAAAGCGGCCCCCGCCCCCTCTACCTCCTCACTGCAGCCTCCTACCGCCCCGGGGCCGCGGGAGGGGGCGGGGAGTTCCGGTCGGTCGGAGCAACCGCCCAGGAACTGGCTATGGACAGGCCTCCTGCAGATGACGCGGGGGCGGGGAGACGGCGAGGACCAGGCCACTGTGGTTAGCGGGGGAGGGGAAGGCGGCCGCAAGCGAGCCCACTGGAGGTGGGGTAAGAGTGGCAAGCCTCGGCAAACCCTAGGGAACAGCCGGGCCTGGGGGGCGGAGCTCGGCAGCCCAGACCTCTGCGCGGCAGCGAGCGCAGCCGAGCCCCAGGGGCTGCAGGTAGGAGGGGCCGGAGGGAGGATGGGGGCGCAGAACCGGAAGAAACGAAAGGCTCCTCCGCCTCGCCTTGTCCTAATTTGGTGCCCAACCTGAGGTCGGGCTGTACCATTGCGTGACTGGGGAAGCCTGTGGAAAAGGAGACAAGAAAGCCGAAGACACAAAGGAGAGCTGCAAAGAAAGCTAAAGAAGCTTGCGTATCGATGCACTTTCAAGAGTTTAAAATGCCAAAACAATCCTAGGGAGAAAATTTCCTGAGGTTCCAAGTGTTCCTAGGGTCTCTCTCCCCCACTCAAGACATAGGTGGTACCGCCCGGAAGTCCGGGCGGAGACTGCGGCTGCGCTCCTCGCGAAAGGGCAGCCGTCGCGAAGCTGGCCACTTCCGCACTTCCGCTTTCCGGCCCAGCCAGCGCCCGCGATGGTGAGAGAGCCGGGCCCCGGGCAGGGATCCCTAGTTGTTGTGTCTCTAGGTTGTGGGTCGGGGGGAGATGGAGGCTTTGCCGTGGAGGCCTAGGGCTGAGGGATACCGGGGAGGTGTGGGGCCACGAAGAGGGTAGCAGAAAGAGGATGGGGCGGGGGCCCGAAGTGAGAAGGGGGCGAGCAGGAGGACTCGCTAGTAAGAAGCAGGCCCTAGAGCGGCTTTACAGTCGCGCCTTCGAAGCAGGTAGGGAATATTCCTGAAGCAGGGAGGGTGCCGGAAGTGGGGCCTCATAGGCTTGTGGGAGCGCCTCGTAGGCACGTAGTAGGCCTTATAGCCAGTTGCAGAGCTGCTGAGGCATACAGGCAGGCCACCTCCCCATCCAAAGTAGAGCTTCACTAAATACACCCCCTTGTCCTTTCCTGCCTTTTTGACCCCACAGTTTTCCAAGGCAGGTGTCCACACTTCCTTTCCCCATTCTTCTCGGTACCTCCAGCCTTGCCTCTACCCATCTCTTCTGTGTTGCCTCCACTCAGGCCCTTTCCTGGTCAGAACTATAAAAAATCGTGTCTGTCTTGCTGTGTGTTAGCTCTGATACGCTGATACCTCTCTTCCTTTAAATTCTCCTTTTTGAGTATGTCGGCATTTCTGGGAGTTGTGACTTTGGCTTACCACCTCCTTTTCTTCACACTGTCGCTGGTAGTACCTGTCTAGTTTCCATGTTTTGATGATCCTCTGCTTTCTGGTGACTCCTCAATCTGCCTTCACAGCTCTCTTTCAAGCTTCGCCTGGGTCTCTTGAAGACACCCTGAAATTAGACGTCTAGTTCAAAACTCATCTTCCCGTCTAAGCTTGCTCTTCCTCCTGTCTTCCCTACACTGGCAGGCAAACTTTGTGACCTCACACCTCAGCTAGAAACCTGGTTTGTTTTTTTTTTGTTTTTTTTTTTTGAGTGATGACATGCCTCTTGTTCTGTTAAAAATTCAAGTTTATAGAGTTATTACGTGAAACTGTTTTATTCTTGAAAGGGCAGATGTCACAAGGCTGGCCGCCTAAAATTCAGCCTTTTTAGGTTTACCATCTGAGTATTGACCAAGACATGCCTGGCATGATGCGTACTTGTAGTCCCAGCTACTCCAGAAGCTGAGGCTGGGAGATTGCTTGAGCCCAGGAGTTGGAGGATGCAGTGCGCCATGAGCACGCCTGTGCATAGGCACTGCACTCCAGCCTGGGCAACATGGCGAGACTCAGTTTCTTAAAAAAAGAAAAAGTCATGTAACCAGTACTGTAATCAAAATAAATTTTCATCACCCCAAAAAGTTCTCTCAAGTCCCTTTGTAATTATTTCTTTCCCCTCCTCCCAACCCAAAAAAACAACGGGTTTTTTTTTTTCTCCATATAGTTTTGCCTTTTCCAGCTTGTCATGTAAATGGAATTCTTCAGTATGTAGGCTTTTTAGTGTGGCTTACCATGATGCATTTGCAAGTCATCCATGTTGTATGTATCAGTAGTTTGTCCTTCTTATTGCTGGGTAGTATTTCATTGTATGGATGGACCACAATTTGTTGGGAGTTATTTTTTGATTCGGTTATCCTCTGCATTTAATGTCAATCCACACCCTGTGATATTCTTTGCTTGTCCCTCTCTGCTTTATGTCTCACTTCCCTCTCCAATCCATTTGCCACAGAGCCACCATGCAGCGGCAGTCATGTAACTTCCTCCTCAGAAAGCCCCAACAGTTCCTTACCACCTTAAAAGAAAAGCTAAACTGAGTAGCCTGGCATTCAAGATTCCCCATTATCTTACCCCAGCCTACCACTGCAACCTCATCTGCTGAATCTAAAATGCTTCTATACAGAAACATTGTATTCATTACTACTTCTGGAACTCTTGATGCCATTTTGTGTTATGCTAACCTTACTTAAGTTATTTCTTCCATTCATTTATTCTACAGAAAATGAGTAAGACACTGTATATGTTAGGCACTGAGCTAGGTACAGGTTATATAGATGTGAATAAAATAGACGTGGTCTATTGACCATGAAGCTTACAGTCTAGTGAAGGAGCAGTCACTTTATAAAAGACAAAGAGGATGTGTCATTGTAAATTGTAATAAATGCTACGAAGGGGGAAGTCAAGAAAGGCCTCTCTGAGGAAGGAAGAGGCTGTCCCTAATAGACTGAGATCTGAAGGATGACTTAGGCAGAGAGAGAGGAGAAAATCCTGCAGATAGATGGTTCAGCATAGATAGATATAAAGAAAGCCCTGTGGTGAAAAAGAACTTGCCTAATATAAGGAATTGACCACTGTAGCTAGAACCTGATCCCTCTACTAGGAATGTCCTTATTCTCCTTTTTCTCATTGTAAAATCCTCCTAATCCTATTTCCATCTTTAATTCAAAGCCAGTTTCTTTTGCAAATACAGATTACTTGTAAATCTAAATATTTCACATTTTATCCTCCTTTATGTCAGTTATTTTCTCTATCTCTTCCACCCAGCTGGGTTATTTGAGGATAGAGATGGTTTTAATCATGTTTGATTTCCCAGCTTGCTTAGTGCCTGGCAAACAGTAAACCTCTCCATTTGTTGCCTTAATAGACAGATTGAGGACAATTATTCGTTTACCTGTATGCCTCTAGACCACAGTTCCTCGGCCTCAGTACTGTTGACATTAGGGGCTGGATAATTCTTTGCTGTGCACGGCAGGATGTTAAGTGGATACTTGTCCACTCAATGCTAGTAGCACCTCCCTCCTGCCCAAGTCATGACAATCAAAAATGTCCTGACATTACCAAATGTCTCTCAGCAGACAAAATTGTCCCCTGTTGAGAACCACTGCTCTGGATTTAGACTGAAAGACAATCTTGAAAGTGCCTAGTCTGTGGTGTCTGAGAGCTGGGTACCCTTAGTGCTGCCTTGCTCTGTGGGAGCTGGAGTAGGTGTTGGTGAGGCAGGTTTTGATCTTTCCCACCTCTTGGGTTTTTTTCCTGCAGACTGCCACTCTCCGCCCCTACCTGAGTGCCGTGCGGGCCACACTGCAGGCTGCCCTCTGCCTGGAGAACTTCTCCTCTCAGGTCGTGGAACGACACAACAAGCCTGAAGTGGAAGTCAGGTAGGAAAAGAAAAGGTCAGTGGTTAGGGTAGGGATGAGGGGTGCAGCACACAGGGATGATGCTGTCTAGAAGGTGTCATGAACTTACATCCTGGAGTTGTCAGGACAGCTACAGTTGACATTTTGTCTTGCTGCCAAATGAACACTGGTTCCCAATTTGGAGTTACAAAAATAGGGTCACTGGGTTGGCAGGACAAAACCCAGGGGAGAAGCCAAGACGCTCTACACACAATCTGACTTCTCAGAGCAGTGCTGTTTATGAAGTAGCCTGTGGTATTATTGAACCCACTGGCAGTTTAAGGAGTAGTTGGAGAATTTAGTCATCTGAGATGCCATCTTCATATTTTTCTAATTTAAGGATCAAGGATTTTTTTCCTTACCAGCCTAGACCCTCCTACCCTGTACTTGAAATATTCCATATTTGGAATGATTTTTTCTTCTGTATTTTCCATTTCATAAATAAATTGTTCTTTTTCCCCTTTAAAATAAAATCTGGGACATACATAATTGAGATAAGCTGTGTTACCCCATTAAGTGATATGATTTGATTTGAATTTTAGAAAATAACTGACGAGATGTTAAGATGTGCCATGCTTAACATATATGATTTCCAGTAGGCATTTAAAAATGATAACAGCTCACAGATACCACCACTTCAGTTAACTGTCGTTATAGATATCTAGGGATTCAGTGGCATCAGCTTAGGACCTTTGCTACCTCAATAGTGAATAATTGAATCATTTCTGGAATGATAATTGAAGGATGCCAAACTGTTCAATGTTAGCTTGTCCTTATCTCCAGGCAGGGGCTCGTTCCTCATTCCCTAAATGTGTACTAGTTTGCCTGTATAGGTTGAGTGTCCCTTATCTGAAATGCTTGGGACCAGAAGTGTTTCAGATTTCAGGTTTTGGAATATTTGCAAATACTTAACCAGTTGATTATCCCTGATCCAAAATCCACAATGCTCCAGTGAGCATTTCCTTTTGAGTGTCATGTTGGCTCTCAGAAAGTTTTGGATTTTGGAGCATTTTGAATTTCAGATTTTTGGCTTAAGGATGTTTAGTCTGTAGTTATTAAAATCAGATATCTTTTGTAAAGCTCCTACCATGTGCCAGGCACGCTATTAGACACTTGACCCTTTTTGATCTCTCTTAGTCCTCACCAGTGAAATAGAATCAGTCATTTTACAGATGAGGAAATTGAGATTCCAACAGGGTAACTTGTCCAAGGAAAGTAACAGAGGAGGCTGGATTTCAGAACCTTTTCGCCCCGACTCCAGAGCCTGTGCTCTTTCTGCTGGAGAACATGCTTACTGGCCCCCATCTTGGAGCACCCCTGCTTGTGAGTCTTCTACTGCTTGGACTCTGTGATCTCAGATGGTGACTTCAGGACCTGCTATGGGGTTGCCCTGACTGTTCTGTCCCTCTATACTACAGAGGCCTCTGTGATATTGTGTTTTCAGGAGTAGCAAAGAACTCCTGTTACAGCCCGTGACCATCAGCAGAAATGAGAAGGAAAAGGTTCTCATTGAGGGCTCCATCAACTCTGTCCGGGTCAGCATCGCTGTGAAACAGGTAAGTTCGCCATTGAGGAGGCCCAGATTGGGAGCTCTCTTCCAAGCCTGGGGTCTCCATCCAAGAGATCAGTGTCCCAGATTCAGAGTGTAGGAAACCTAGGCTCTGCTTTCTTAAATGTACTCAGGAGATGATTTGCTAAACTCAGCAGGTCAGTAGAATAAAAAGAAAGAAACCCCATCTTGGAGGCCTTGCTCTGGATTAGAAGACAGGAAATGTAGCAGCCAAGGCCGGGGGACCAGTTGAGTGTCAGGTCACAGAACTATTCCTGAGGAATGAGGAGTAAGTACAGTTCAGAAATACAAGCATTGCCAGTACCAGTTTGATAGCCATAGCCTCAGAAACTGGGCCGGGCGCGGTGGCTCACGCCTGTAATCCTAACACTCTGGGAGGCTGAGGCGGGAGGATCATTTGAGCTCGGGAGTTCGAGACCAGCCTGAGCAAGAGTGAGACCCCGTCTCTACTAAAAAACAGAAAGAAATTGGCTGGACAACTAAAAATACATAGAAAAAATTAGCCAGGCATGGTGGCACATGCCTGTAGTCCCAGCTACTCGAGAGGCTGAGGCAGAAGGATCGCTTGAGCCCAGGAGTTTGAGGTTGCTGTGAGCTAGGTTGACGCCACGGCACTGTAGCCTGGGCAACAGAGCGAGACTTTGTCTCAAAAAAAATAAAAAAAAAAAAAAAGATAGCCGTAGTCTCAGAAACTGAGACTTAGTGCTGTTTCTTTTACATTTCCTCAGACAGTGTTTCACAAATGCCTATCATTCCCACCACCCCATAATTTTTGTCATATTTATGTACCACCTGGGTGGTTATTTATTTAATAGATTTCTTTAAATTGTCTTATTTTCTTTTACTTAAATTTGTTTGAAGAGAAACTTTATGCCATAAATGAGAAAACAGCATCACTTGCCACAATAGAAGACAACTCTAAAAATAAACACAATAAACACAAAATAGTGTTATTAAATTCAGACTGTGTACTGTTGCCTACAGAAAACTCCAACCCTAGGGCTTGCTGTCTTTGTTAAATGGAAGATTAACAAGTGTTGGAAGGTGATGTGGGCATACTAGCATCCAGCTGCCAAGTTCTTCCTTTAGAAATACTGAAAGAATTCAGAAGGGAGAAGCTTTGGGGATTGTTTGATGTTCTGTGTTAATAAAGCAGAGACCACCTAAGGTTATCTCTGATACCCCAGGTGGTACGTGATACACGCTTTGGGAAATTTAGCACTAGTGAAATGAGAAAGAGAATAGCACCTTTGTTTTTCTTTTTTTATGAGACAGGGCCTTGCTGTGTCATGCAGGCTGGAGTGCAATGACAAGATCATAGCTCACTTTATCCTTAAACTCCTGGATTTAGGCGATCCCCCTACCTCAGCCCTCCAAGTAGCTGGGACTACAGGCACATGCTGTTAGCATGTTTGGCTAATTTTTCTTATTTTTTGTAGGGACAGGGTTTCACTATATTGCTGAGGCTGGCCTCAAGTGATCCTCTGCCTCAGCCTTCCAAAATGCTGGGATGATGGGCGTGAGCCATCTGGCCTGGCCAACAAGCATGGTTTTGCAGGAGAGGCAGCTTTGAGTATAGGTGTAGACTCTGAAGGAGTTGATAAAAGACTAGTTTGCCAGAATTACCTCTCTGGAATGGGTGAGGGCAAGATCACAGTAGTGCCTCATTAAGTTAGAGATGTTCTAAGGTAGACCCTTCTTTCAGTTGGCAACCAAGTCCCCTGCAGTTCAAAGTTCAGGCCATGATTGATCATAATACCAAACTTCACTGTCTCCAGCAAGCGTGGGGTCAGAAGACCAGGCTACTGGTTATTTTTTGCCTAGGGTGTTAGCTTTAGAGCAACATGTTTCTCTTTTTCTTCTCTAGGCTGATGAGATCGAGAAGATTTTATGCCACAAGTTCATGCGCTTCATGATGATGCGAGCAGAGAACTTCTTTATCCTTCGAAGGAAACCGGTAGAGGTGAGACCCTGTGATCCATGTGTTCATAATACCCAGGATCCTGTCACTGAGTAGCCTGGGATTGTTTCTACATCCAGGAATGCTACTTCTCCAGCTATAGGGCATGCACTGCCCGAGTCAAGAGTTGGCCTTTATCTCAGCTGGAGTGGGAGCAGAGGGGATCAGAAGCTTAGAAGTTGGATCTACTTCAACCATAGAAAAGGCAAAAATGATGAGATACATTGCTCATCTTCCCAGAGCCTACAGTCTAGCAGCAGAAAGAACACAGTGAATTAGAAATCCTTTCTAAACTCTCACCAATCGAATCAATCTCTCAAAGCCACAGTTAACATTGGGTCAATTGTTGCCTGACTTGAATCTTCTCCACCGACCCCCCTGCCAGGTCAACATAAAATATCCCCTGTGACTGAGCAACTACCATGCCGAGCAGCATACGCCATCATCAGACATATCGGATGTGTTGGCCAAGTTCTCCTCATCCTGAGCCAAATTCACTCTCCTGGTCCAAGATCTAACTTCTGGAGCGACCCGAATTAAATAAAATTGCTCTTCTTCCAACCCTCCAGTAGTAAAAGACCTCAATCCATCCCTCTCCTGCATCATCTCTTCTCTGGACTAAATGTTCCCTATTGTTCGATTAGATTCTTTGTTTTTGAGACATGGTCTTGCTCCGTCACCTGAGCTAGAGTGCAGTGGCGTCATCATGGCTCACTGCAACCTCAAGCTCCTGGGCTCAAGTGATCCTCCTGCCTCAGCTTCCTGAGTAGCTGGGACTACAGGCATGGGACATCACACCTGGCTAATTTTTCTGTTTTTTATAGAGATGGGGTCTCGCTCTTGATTAGGCTGGTCTTGAACTCCTGGCCTCAAGTGATCCTCCTGCCTTGGCCTCCCAAAGTGCTAGGATTACAGGCATGAGCCATGGTGCCCACCTAGATTCTTCTGTAAAAAAATTTGAAGTCCTGGCTGGGCGCGGTGGCTCACGCCTGTAATCCTAGCTCTCCGGGAGGCCGAGGCGGGCGGACTGTTTGAGCTCAGGAGTTCGAGACCAGCCTGAGCAAGAGCAAGACCCTGTCTCTACTAAAAATGGAAAGAAATTAATCGGACAACTAAAAATATATAGAAAAAATTAGCCAGGCATGGTGGCACATGCCTGTAGTCCCAGCTACTGGGGAGGCTGAGGCAGGAGGATCGCTTGAGCCCAGGAGTTTGAGGTTGCTGTGAGCTAGGCTGGCGCCACGGCACTCTAGCCCAAAAAAAAAAAAAAAAAAAATTTGAAGTCCCTTCCCTCATTCTGAATGCAGAACTGTTTGTGCCACAGATAGTCTTCCAGAGATGTCTGATATACAAAAAACTCACAGCTGGGTTTAGTTGCTTGATTCTAACATAGACACTACCCAGCCCCACCACCATCCTCAGAGCAAGTGGGCTGCTGACTGGAAGGGCGTGTAGCTTGGAAGAAGATCACAGTCTGCTGGAAGCAGGTGGATGAGTGAAGTAGAGGACTTGGCCAGCTAAATGTCCCCAGAGCATTAATTGTCTCCTGTTTGTTCTCTTCGTCATCCCTACTGTCTTCCTTCCCTAGGGGTATGACATTAGTTTTCTGATCACCAACTTCCACACAGAGCAAATGTACAAACACAAGTTGGTGGACTTTGTGATCCACTTCATGGAGGAGATTGACAAGGAAATCAGTGAGATGAAGCTGTCGGTCAATGCCCGTGCACGCATCGTGGCTGAGGAGTTCCTCAAGAATGTGAGTAGGGGCCTTCCTATTTCTTTCCAGAGCCATGGGTCATATTAAGAACTTAGCACCTGGTGGGAACGTGGTGCCAACAGTGTGTTTACATTTCCTGAGGACTCTAGGCCCTCTAGTGCATGGCAGGTCAGCCAGGTGCTTTGGAGCTAGAAGACCTGAGGTTCATCTCTGAGAGCTGAAGGGCATTTTCCGTATCTGGGTGTCTGGAACACCTCGTAGTCTCTCATAGGAACTTAGACACTCATTTCTACAACTAAAATGTCCGTAAAGCCCTTACGTGTATCTGATTCAAACCCCAAGTGAGGCAAGTGAAGTCCACATGTGAATTTTCTAGGAATATAGGACAGTTAATCATGGTATAATTCCACTTCTCAAACAGACTTCAGCATCTGTTTCTCAGTCTTAAAGTCATGATTTCTTTAACCTGTTTTCCCTCACTTTCCTGGCTTAAGTCCTCCAGATCCCTCTTAAATTGTGCCTTTCTAACCAAGGACAGCAGGCCTCTGAAGAGGAAGAATTGTTTACATTGATGAACTGATGACATAGTTGTTCTTGTTTAGATATTCAGGACATGCCTTCTTTTTTCTTTCCTTCTTCCAAACAATCTTTGGCTTGTTGATATGTTCCACCCAGAGTTGACCGATCTGCAGATGGTAGATGTAATGTTTACTCCTACCAGTCCATGCAGACCCATGCATGCCCAGAAGGAGCTCAGATTCCTAAAAATGGAAATGACACCCGCTTCCCTTGGGGTTTAATGATACTGAGGGGGGCCAGTGACAAAGCTGTACTGTGTGCACAGAGCAGCGTGGTTTTTCAGCTCACTCAGGCTGTGCAGTCAGACTACCAGGTTTGAATCCAGGCTCTGCTGCTTCCTCAGCCATGTCACTGAATCTCTCAACTAAGCCTTGGTTTCCCAAGCTGTGAAATGAGGACCTACTAATTAATATTTACTTTTCAGAGTGGTTGAGCATTAAATGAGATCATATATGTAAAATGTAGCACCTGGTATATAGTAAGCTTTCCATACATTGTAGCACCGAAATTTTGTGGCCGGGGCACTAGGAAGCCTCTGAACTGAACTGTGAGGGAAAATAGCTCTTGTCCCAGTTTAATATTGGGCACACTCACTCAACAGTCCTTTACTTATTTATGAAAATTACATTTTTATAGAGTTATACAGCTAAAAAAGCATGTTCACATGTCCCGTCTAATACTTAAAACAATCTTTGAGTCAGGTATTCTCACCGTTTTACAGATAAGTAAACTGGGGCTGTGGAAGGGAAGTCACCTGCCCCAGGTTCCCCAGCCAGGAAGTGGAGGAACCAGAACGTGGAGCTGGGTTTTCCAACTCAGAGATCTAAGATAGTACCACAGCATCTGGCAGGGGTCACAAACTCAGGTGTACGGAAAGGTCGGGCAGGTAGTGCGTGCGGGTGGCATGGGTGGGGTGAGGACCTGCTGAGCGCAAGCCTCATTGAAGAGGATTGCCATCACGTGGCTGCAGCCCATCGTGGCTTCATCTCCCAGCTTCTCATGAGAATCCCCAAATACGGATTTGTATGTGGCATCTCACATGTTTTCAAGGTTGGCAGTGAATTCATACTTTTTCAGACACTGTGTGGCCAAACAGTACTCATCTTTGGGCTGGATTCAGCCATGGGGCCATTGGTTCACAACCTTTGGTCTATAAGATGTCCAGGACTGTGCTAGACGCCATGAGGGATACGTGAGGGCAGAAAGCTTTTCAAGGGCCTGTCCTGGTTGGAGGATCACCCAGAGCTTGACACAAAGTACCAGATCCTGGGTCCTTTTCCCCTTGGCCCTCTGAGTCCCTAAGCCACTTGCATGTGTGCCCCCATGACTAAAGCAAGCCACCTCAGTTCACCCTGCAAGACACTGACAGAGCTTTATAGCAGCCTCCATGACACGGCCCAGGGCAGCCGTGGAGAAGCCATCATTACTGTTACTTTTTCTGCCTTATTTAGCACTGGGTTTGGGGATAGTACTCACAGGCCACTGCTGAATGCTGGCTGAAGTACAGCATGACCACAGCGTGTCCTGGGACCCAATTCTGCCCTTCAGAGATCTGAGCACAGTGGCAGCTCTCAGATCAGCCCACCTCCCCAGAGCAGGCCCACCAGGATACAATAATAATCACCATGCCCTTGCCTCTTGGTTCTTTTGACAGTTTTAAACCATCTGGTTGGATCTCGTGGCCTTCCCCCCACACTCCCCCGTGTCTCTGCGAAGGCGTCCTGGAGTCACTCCCCAGAGCGGCGGCGGTGGCGGCGGCGGCGACGAGCTGGGTCGGGGTGGGCATTAGATGTGGGAGGGGGGTGGTGTGCTTGCTAGCTGGGCAAGAAAGCAGCAGTGGACCTGCCCCACGGCCACACATGCCTGGTCAGGCTGGCTTCTCAAGTTCAGTCCCCTGGGCTGGGACGGATTTTTTTTTAATGTCTTGAAACTTAAACTCTGTGCTTGTAGGAGACTGTAGCCTTTTTGTCTTTTTTTTTTTTTTTTTTTTAAACAAACAGCCTCCTCCTCCAGTGGCTGTGACTGGTCCCAGTGATTGTACCTTATTGGTCGCTGTGGGTCTGGGCAGGCCTGGAGCCAGAAGGCGACTACCTTTCCTTCCCCATGCCACCCCACGTCGAGGGGAAGAAGGTTCAGACTCCAGTTCCTCTCCCGGGCCCGTTTATTCCCAAGCCTCCTTGGGCCAGCATAAGTGGTGGGGACCCTCTGCCAGCTTCCTGAGCTCTGCCTGAAGATGGCCACCCAGCACTGGTTGGGGACAAGGGCTGAATCGGTGACCACCGGTCATGCCTAGGAGCTGGGGCTCAAAAGCCAGGCAACCTCTGGCTGTAGGGGCCATTTGGTGCCCTCCCAGCTGAGGGGGGGCCACTGTTTCGCCTTGTCTATCAGTGCAGTGCCTGCACCAGAGGTGGAGGGGTGAGTCCTCCAGAGCTTCCTGGCCAGGCCCCCCTCCTGCCTGCTCTGGCTCCTCTGCTCCCACGCTCGCTGTCCCTTTTCTATTCTGGTGGAGCCTCCTTCCCCTAATTAAAGTCTTTTCTTGCCCCTTTGGGGCTGCGTGAGGTCTGTGCTCTGTGTGTTATGTGAAAGGAGGAGAGGTGGGGCTTTTTTTCCCCTGAGACCATATGGCTGGTACTTGGGCCCAGAGCTCTTCACCAGACACAGTCTCTGGATTGGTTCTACCATTATCCCTGCCAAGGGCCCCAGCCCGAAGACCTCTTTCATTGCAGTCCAGGCACCATCCATTTCTGAAACTGTCTCTGCCTGTATAGTTTTGGTGCTTTTCACATAATGATCTCATTTGCGCTAAAAGGTAACCTCAGAGAAAAAATGATCCCATTTCATGGATAAGGAAACTGAGGTTCCAAGCAGGAGATGTAATAGCTTGCCTCAAACCTCTCAGCCAGTGAGCAAGAGGAGAGACTTCTGCCTGTGCTATGACAGTAATCACTAGCCACATGTGGCTATTTAATCTTCAATTATTGTGATTAAATAAAGTTTAAAATTCTCAGTCCCATTGGAAACATTTCAAGTGCTCATATATAGACATTTCCATCATTGCAGAAAGTTCTATTGAATAGTGGTAGACCTTAGTGATACCTTAAAGTACAAAGAAAAAACAAAAAAACTTGTGTTTGAGTCTTGACCCTTGTTGCTAAATTTGAGCAAGTTGTTTACATTCTCTGCCTCCGTTTTTTAAGTGGAGATATGAATGTGAACAGTCTGACACAGCCCCTGCCACACAGGCACTGAATGAGCAATAGCTGTTCATTATTAAATAGCCTGGTATCTGGAGCTGTTTGATAACTTCCAATATGTAGGCATGGGGGATGTTACCCCTGCCTTGAAAGGACTTGGGGGTCCAGTAAAAGAGCTAGGTGTGTAAATAGGGGCACTGAAGTATTTCTTTCTTTCTCTTTTTTTTTTTTTGAGGCAGTGTTGCTCTGTTGCCCTGGCTCACAGCAACCTCAAACTCCTGGGCTCAAGCGATCCTCCTGCCTCAGCCTCCCAAGTAGCTGGGACTACAGGCTTGCACTACCATGCCTGGCTAACTTTTTTCTATTTTTGGTAGAGACAGGGTCTCACTCTTGCTCAGGCTGGTCTTGAACTCTGACCTCAAGTGATCCTCTGCCTCAGCCTTCCAGAGTGCAAGGATTACAGGAGTGAGCCTCTGCACGTGGCCTGAAGTGTGTCATACTAATTTTACAAGTCTGGGGCCCTGGAGGGGGTATATTTAGGTGTCAGGAAAAGCTTCAAGAAGGGTTGGCCTTTGAATTGAGCTTTCAAAAGGGATTCCTTCAGATGGCCAAGGGAATCTCTTTTGAAGGGGAGGACAAAGTAATGTTAAAGGGAGGAGGGAGGGGGTGGTGGCAACTTGAACAGCTATCATCCCCTTTATGACATTATCTCTGTGACCTCCCCATCCTGCCTTGCTGAATTAGGTGTCCTTCCTCTGGGGCACATGGTTATTTTCTAGCTTTGCAGTGAATGTTAAAGGTGCTCATGGTGAAGCTGGGTGATTACTAGGGTATGGCAGCTGGTCACTCAACAACCCTCACAGAACAGCATTGCCTGGGTGAGCCAACCACAACCCTCATTTGTCATAGATCTATCTTCCAGGGTCCAAAGTCCCTAAAACCAGAATTGCAGGCCAATTAGAACAGTCTGGATGGTTGCCAATCAGTGGATTCTCTCTTGGGGGGCATGCTTTTTATGAAACACAGCCACCAGCCAAAGGCAGGTTGGGAAAGGTGGTCTCAGTGGTTGGGGTCAGCTGGACAGGTAGGTGGGGGTCCCACCTTCACTGTAAGAGTAGATCTACGCAGTGACTTAACAAAGGTAGGTTCTTCACCCAGGGTACTCTTCCCTGGACGCTGCCTGAATGGGCACTGGTGGAGTTTGCCTCTCAAAGTGCCCCTGCTTTGTACTTCCATGACCGAAAGGCAACACTTCAGAGAGATAACATGGAGTTTGAGAGTGAG